ATCGGTATCGGCCAAAATTTTCATATCGGTGCATCCCTAATACATTTAGTACTTTTATAACATTTATTACATGTTTTCAGCGCTTTTTTGGTTTACTTTTAGTTTATTTATTTATTTATTTTATAAAATTTGAGCCCACTTATTTTATGATACTTTCCTCATTAAATAAATAATCGTATAATGTATTGTTCTTTACTTTTTAAAATGTCATTCTAAAAATAATAAAAGCACACCAAATACATACATTTGTATCATACACTGCAGATTTCTGCTAATATAACTTTCTAAATCCTTCCAAAATAATCTTGAGTAAAATAAAATAATCTTTGAGTATACAGTGGGTACGGAAAGTATTCAGACCCCCTTAAATTATTTTATGATAAAACAAATGTACAAAATTCAGTTCAATTCAAATTTTCACCTTAATTCTTTCCAAAACATGCTCAACTGGATAAATCCTGTTTAGTATTTTGTTATTAATACAAAATTTCTATCACATTTTCCATGCTATCTTTCAATCTATATTAATAAAAAAGTCCAAAAACAATAATAAATCTTGCTGCAGATTATTTGCATGTTGAGTTCCCAATGAATAACAATTAGAAATAGAACTAATGAAGCTTGATTTCTCTTGTCTCAGAGGCTGTCTGTGCAGGAAGTCCCGCCTCTGTTGAATGGTGACAGTCGTCCTCAGCAGCAGCAGCGCTCGTCTCAGTCTGTCCCGGGCCTTCAGTCTCACCCGAACCCCTCCAGTAATGGACACGCCCAGTCCGCTTCTTCAGCCAGCTCCGTCCACTCACAGACAGCAGTGGGCGTGTCTGGGTTACAGTCTCCTCCCTCCATTACCCACACCTCCACCTCCTCCCACAGTTCCCTGCTGGGCCTGACTCCGCCCCTAATGGCCCCCCACAGTGCCCCTCTGTCCCGCGCGCTCACACCCGTCCTGCTGTCCGGCTCTGCCGCTGCTGTCGGTGTGCTGAAGGCTCCTGATCTCTACTCCACCTCCACACTGCCGCTGCCGAGGAGACAGTCCAGCGAGACTCGTCAGGGATTCATGGGTGTGTGTGTGCGAGTGTGTGTATTCGAGTGTGTGTATGTGTGTGTGTGTGTGTGAGTGTGGGTGTGTGCGACTGTGCCCGACGGAAGCCTCTCCTCAGTGCAAGACACATGGAAGCCCGCATGGAGTTTGCTAAAAAACACCAGAATAAGATTCTCTGGTCTGATGAGACCAAGATAGAACTTTTTGGCCTTAATTCTAAGCGGTATGTGTGGAGAAAACCAGGCACTGCTCATCACCTGTCCAATACAGTCCCAACAGTGAAGCATGGTGGTGGCAGCATCATGCTGTGGGTTTTTTTTTCAGCTGCAGGGACAGGACGACTGTGTAACGAATCAGCTCATGTGAAATATGAATAACTAACCATAACTAACGAAGGAGTGGCTTCACAACAACTCTGTGACTGTTCTTGAATGGCCCAGCCAGAGCCCTGACTTAAACCTAATTGAGCATCTCTGGAGAGACCTAAGAATGGCTGTCCACCAACGTTTACCATCCGACCTGACAGAACTGGAGAGGATCTGTAAGGAGGAATGGCAGCGGATCCCCAAATCCAGGTGTGAAAAACTTGTTGCCTCTTTCCCAAAAAGACTCATGGCTGTATTAGATCAAAAGGGTGCTTCTACTAAATACTGAGCAAAGGGTCTGAATATTTAGGACCATGTGATATTTCAGTTTTTCTTTTTTAATAAATCTGCAAAAATGTCAACAATTCTGTGTTTTTCTGTCAATATGGGGTGCTGTGTGTACATTAATGAGGAAAAAAAAATAACTGAAATGATTTTAGCAAATGGCTGCAATATAACAAAGAGTGAAAAATTTAAGGGGGTCTGAATACTTTCCGTACCCACTGTATATATATATATATATATATATATATATTTTATGATAAAACAAATGTACAAAATTCAGTTCAATTCAAATTTTCACTTTAATTCTTTCCAAAACATGCTCAACTGGATAAATCCTGTTTAGTATTTTGTAAGACACTTCTTTAATTTTGTTATTAATACAAAATTTCTATCACATTTTCCATGCTATCTTTCAATCTATATTAATAAAGAAGGCCAAAAATTTTTTTTTAATCTTGCTGCACAATGTTTGCATGTTGAGTTCCCAATGAATAACAATTAGAAATAGAACTAATGAAGCTTGATTTCTCTCGTCTCAGAGGCTGTCTGTGCAGGAAGTCCCGCCTCTGTTGAATGGTGACAGTCGTCCTCAGCAGCAGCAGCGCTCGTCTCAGTCTGTCCCGGGCCTTCAGTCTCACCCGAACCCCTCCAGTAATGGACACGCCCAGTCCGCTTCTTCAGCCAGCTCCGCCCACTCACAGACAGCAGTGGGCGTGTCTGGGTTACAGTCTCCTCCCTCCATTACCCACACCTCCACCTCCTCCCACAGTTCCCTGCTGGGCCTGACTCCGCCCCTAATGGCCCCCCACAGTGCCCCTCTGTCCCGCGCGCTCACACCCGTCCTGCTGTCCGGCTCTGCCGCTGCTGTCGGTGTGCTGAAGGCTCCTGATCTCTACTCCACCTCCACACTGCCGCTGCCGAGGAGACAGTCCAGCGAGACTCGTCAGGGATTCATGGGTGTGTGTGTGCGAGTGTGTGTATTCGAGTGTGTGTATGTGTGTGTGTGTGTGTGAGTGTGGGTGTGTGCGACTGTG